TTTGAGAAAAAAAAATTGAAAATGATAACGGAGAAAGATTGTGAGGGGGTTATCTCAACATCCAGGGCTGACAGAACAGAAAGGTGCTTACTTTTCGTTAGTTGTGGGGTCAGCACAGGGCCCTGCCTCCACCCTGCTCAACACCAGAGCTCCTTGCCTGGGCCAGAATGTGTAAAGGAAATGCCAAGGGCTGATGGCACAGAAAGACCAAGGTCCTTGTCCGACCAACTGTGAGATTTTGAGAAAGTATTTTACCGCTCAGATCATCATTCGTGAAGTGAGAGGTGGACCTGGTTATCTCCACGGGTGCTCAGTTAGCCTAAGAGGTCATTCAGCAGAGGCCCAGGCAGTGCCTGGGGAGCTCTGCCATCCAACAAAGACGGACTACCAGCCACATGTTCAAGTGTCAATATCTAGGTAGCCGTATTTCAAAAAGTAAAATTAATAATTAATTTTATTTAACCCCTCAAATGCTATCATTTCAACATACAATCAATATAAAATTATTGAGAGATTTTATATTCCTTTTTGGTACTAAGTCTTGGAAATCTGGGTGTGTTTTACACTTCAGCACATTTCAGTACAAATCGACCACATCGTGAGTACCCAATAGCCATCCGTGAATGTGCAGCTATAGAGCAGGGGCCTGCAAACCATGTCCATGGACCACATCTTGTCTGCTGCTTGTTTTTTGTATGGCCGATTAGCCAAGAGTGGTTTTTATATGTTTAGTTATAGAACGAAAAAAGTCCAAAGAAAAATATTTCATGATACATGAAAACTATATGAAATTTAAATTTCAGATCTACAAGTAAATGTTCATTGGAACATAGCCATTCCCGCTTGTTGACATATTGTCTGTGGCTTTTTTGGTACAACAGCAGAGTTGAGTAGTTGTGACACAGACATATGACCTGCAAGGCCTGAATATTTGCAATTGGGTTCGTTACAGGAGAAGCTTGCAGGCCCCAAAGAGGAAGCATCAGAGCTGGCTCGAGAGGGCTGGCTGCGCCATTTGCATATAACCAGGGCTTGGCTGGCTTCACTTAGCAAGCCCCAATCCAAAGAGATGGGGGCTGGACAGTGGAGGTTCAGGGGAGCAGCCAACAAAACAGAGCCCTGATGGAGATGCTGCAGCAGAAAGGAAAGTCAGGCAGGCCTTGCACAGGGACTTGGAATAAAGCAGGACATCCTAGAGGGTAGGATACTAGACAAAGGCCAGGGTTAGAAGCGGTACCCCATGGAAGAAGGCGCTCTGAAGAGGGGCATGAAAAACTTGAGAAGATTGACCCAGTATCCCGTGGGAGGAATTGGGTTTGGGCCTTAATGGAAATGAGGACGTAAACTAGCAGCTGTCTGCTCTTACTATCCCTTTCTTGTCTTTAAAGACTGCTCTTATCTGGTGGTTAGCTTATTTAACCTCTTTCAAAGCCTGTAACTTGACGTGCATCCTCCGTTGACTGTCATGTCCGGCTCTGGATTTGAATTTGGCTGGTTGGTTGGCTGGTTGGTTGATTTTCCTCTTGCCCTGGCTGGGTATCTGGATGACTGAGGGGCAGCCCACCCCAGGACCTTCAATTTAGGAAACCTTTCCAGGACTGTAATTACCTGGGATGTAGCTCCATCAAAGGCATGTTTTGATCCATCGACCCCTCATCCTGGCCCAACCCTTTCAATTCCTGTAAGTCACCTTTGGGTAAAGTAAAGATAACATTTATTAATTTTTCTCTTTTAAACAATTGGAAAAATATGACCAAGCCTTTGGAGGGGGAGGAACCTTTCCCTGACCTCTTTGATCCATTTCCTTGTGAGTTATAAATTCCTGGTAGTCTTTCTTTAATGTGGTAGCATTTTTTTTTTTGCTGTATTATTCCATAATTGCTCTGAACCCCTCTAACCCAATCATTTCTGCTTTCATTCATTTTTTAAAAAATTCTTTTCAAGCCCTTCCATTTCCATAAGCTTATTTTACTCTGAAAAAATAGACCAGTGTTGTGTGGAGGGTGTTATCTGTTACATTTTGCAGATTCAGAAACTGAGGCCCAGAGATGCTTAGAGCTTTGCTCAACTTTACACAGCCAGTTAGTGGCCAACATGAGCTAAATATAGTCTTTTGACTGCTGGGCTCATGAGCTTTCTGCTGCAGTTGACTAGCTGCCTATTATTCTTACTTTCTTTGTCTAAATAGTCCTTCCTCTCAGCTTGTTTTAACTTTTGTCCACTTTTTCTTCACCCCTCAAGTCATCTTCCTCCCTCCCAGCCACACACACATCATGTGCTCTCTGAAGCAGCCACGCCTGCCCCTGGCCCCCCTCAGCATCACTCTTTGCTGGAACAATGGGGCCACATAATTGAGAGTCTCTCTTTTCCCCTGCATGCACTTGGCCCCACACTGTGCTCTTTGCCCACAATCTTTGGAGCCACAACTCATTTGATGATGTGGGAAAGAAGGTCGCCCTTGTCTGCTCTGGGAGAGGGCATCAATCCTGAGATGCCCAGAGCTGAGGCTTCCAGCAGGGTTCTCTTCAACCCTAGAGCACCCCCAGTGAGCTCCCAAGATACTGGAAACTTTTCAAAGCATTCAAAGATCAGTGTCAGTGACCTTGATTTTTTTTTTAATCATAAAATGCTAAAGCTAGAAGATACTTGAGAGATGATCACATCCATCCTTCTTATTACAGATGAGGAAACTGAGGTCCAAAGAGATGTCTGAAATTCACCCCCCATCTCATGTTTCATTTCATTTGGGAATGAGTGTCATAAAGTCCTTTAATGACAGGAACATCTCAGTTGTAAGGGTTGGGACTCCTTGGTTTGTTTTATCTTTAAGACCTTACCAGATCTTCACTTGCTTAGGTTCCTGGGGTATCTCCAGGTAAAATGCAGGACCTGGAAACATGAGAACCAAATTGCATAAAATTTTTTTCTGAGACTGATCTTTGTCTCTTTTTGAAGTAGGTAGTAGTTCCACTCCAAGTTTTTTCTTGCGAGGGGTGGCGGGGCAGGCAGGGGAGGTAATGGGTTTGTTTGTTTGTTTGTTTATCTAATGGAGATACTGGACTGAACCCAGGATCTCATGCATGTTAAGTATGCACTCTACCAGTGAGCTCTACCCTCCCCTCTCCACTCCAAGTTTTCTATACATCTCCTAAGATTACCTAGTCATTTATTTATTCATTCATTCATTCATTTAACCAATATCGGTTAGGTTAGGCAATCTCTATGTGTCAGGTATTTTTCTAGAAATGAAAGTGATAATTATTCCCTTGTAAAACTTACCATCTGCTTGAAGAAGAGGACAGTCTAGCAGGAACCATTATGCAACACGGAGAGGTAGACCTGGGGTGCAGGGGAACACTCAGGGCAGACACCCCACAAAGACCTGGGAGGTGAGCCTGTGGAGAGGTAGTCAGGAAAGATTTACACAAGGAGGCGATTGACTACCAGGTGGAACTTGGAAGGGTGGGTAGAAATGGCTACTTTCATTTATTCAGTAAAAATTGCACCAGGCAGCATAAGAAGGCATCCGAAATTCAGAGTTGACAGAAGTATGCAAAATCCCTGTCTCACTGCCCTCACAGTGTGGTCAGGAGTAAGACAATAAAAAATAAACAAATAATTCCAAAGTGTGACATGCTAGGGAGAAAGGAGAAGGATGCTGATATAGAGAACAGGACGGGGCACATTAGAGTGATCAAGAAAGACCTCCCTGGAGAGCTGATGTTAGATAGGACCTGAAAGATAAGAAGGAATTAATCATGGGAAGCCAGGTAAGAGCTGCTAGACTGGGGGGCCTGGATGTGCAAAGGTCCTGCAGTAGAACATGGCCAAGTCCGTATAGTAACTACAAAAAGGCCTTTTTGTCTGGTGCAAGGAGAATATGAAAAGGAGAGGGGCATACTGTCCTGCTAGGGGGGAGAGCAGGGGCTGGTACATCCAGGGCTCGGTAAGCCAAAATAGAAGTGGGTGGCAAGGACTTTCCAAGCAGGGGTAGCCCAGGTAAAAGGCCACAAATGGGAAAACAGTGGCAGGGGGAGGGATTGGTACATGAACACGGCAGCCCACGGCGTGGGGGCGTAAACTCCCTACATGGCATGAGTTAGGCTCCTAGAGGCCTCTGTCATTCCTAAGTGGGTCTAATAAACCTTTCGAATAGACCAAAACCATCGATCATCTCCCGGAATCATTTGGATGGTCATTGTTTGAGCCTTTCTCATCAGTGGCTGGAGGCAAAATTTCAGACAGCAAACTAGAGACAGCAGCTCACCCAGTGTACCAAGCTGGACAAAAACAAACTCTGCAGTCCCTGTGAGATAAGTAGGAATTCAGAGCCGAGGCTGGCAAGGACAGCTGGCCAGCAGGGAGACAGGCAACTGGCCAATGGCCCGTGTTTGGATGACAAGGGAAGAAAGAATAAAATGCAAGCGAAAACAAGGACTCTCTCTTCAAAGAGTTGGGAAACACCCTCTGCTTCCCTTCACTTCCCAGCTGGGGAGAGCAGCGGCAGCAGGACAAGAGGTCAGGAGAAAGCATTCAGCCCCGGACACCCAGTCTGCTACCAGGAGACCTGGTGGGGCGTATGCCACCGGCCGGATGCCGGAAACGGGACACACAGGATGCGGTGCCCAGGCCCCTGCTGATGCCAGGGCCTGCCCTAGAGAACTGGACGTCAGCAAACAGAAAACCATTCAGACCCTGCAGCTGGCGGGGTTCCCATGGCAACCAACTGGTCCCCCAGCAGCACCCCATCCCTTCTCTTTCTGGGCTAAACTTTCCATTTGATTACTTTGGGTAAAGTACAGGTTGGACAAGAGGTGCTGGAAGGGGAATGGCTATCGAAGTGGGTGTTGAGGGTGGGAAGATGAAATCTGATTTTCCCATTAAGTCTGAGAATGAAAAACTAGTAAATGTCTGGGCAAAGATATAATCAGGCTGTGTTTTTTGTTTTTCGTGTTTTTTTTTTTTTTTTTT